GGGGGATAAAAAGAGAGGGAGGAGGGGGGGAGAATAGAGGGGAGGGGGGGAATAAAAAGAGAAGGGGGGGAATAAAAAGAGGGGAGGGGTATAAGAAGAGGGGAGGGGGGATAAGAAGAGGGGAGGGGGAATAAGAAGAGGGGAGGGAGGGGAATAAGAAGAGGGGAGGAGGGGAATAAAAAGAGGGGATAGGGGGAATAAGAAGAGGGGAGGGAGGGGAATAAGAAGAGGGGAGATAAGAAAAAGAGGGGGTAAGAAGAAGAAGGGGTGAGTAAGAAAAAGATGGGGGAGTAAGAAGAAGAAGAGGAGGGAGTAAGAAAAAGAGGGGGGAGTAAGAAGAGGGAGAGGTGGAATAAGAAAAGGGGGAGGGTCGAGTAAGAAGGAGGGGAGGGCGGAGTAAGAAGGAGGGGAGATAAGAAAGAGGGGGGTAAGAAGAAGAAGAAGGGGTGAGTAAGAAAAAGAGTGGGGAGTAAGAAGAAGAAGAAGAGTGGGGGTAAGAAGAAGAAGAGGGGGTAAGAAGAAGGGGGAGTAAGAAGAAGAGGGGGAGTAAGAAGAAGAAGGGGGAGTAAGAGGAAGAAGAAGAAGGGGGTAAGAAGAAGAAGGGGAGTAAGAAGAACAGGTGGGGGAGTAAGAAGAACAGGTGGGGGAGTAAGACGACCAAGGGGGAAGTATGAAGAACACAGGGAGGAGGGGGGTAAGACGAACACAGGGAGGAGGGGGGTAAGACGAACACAGGGGGTGTGAGGAGAACACATAGAGGGAGGAGTGAGAAGAACACAGGGAGGGTGGAGGGGGGGATGAGAAGAGCACAGGGAGGGTGGGTGAGTGTGAGAAGAGACCGCTAGGGGAGGGTGGGGGAGAGGAGAGACCACTAAGGGGGCAGGGGAGAGCTAGAAGGAACAGCTCTATAGGACAGGTGGCAAGACAGGGAGCTCTTTCACACTACGCACACACACACAATGCATCCCTATACATACACAGAAACACACAATGCATCCCTACACACACAGAAACACAACATGCTTCCCTTACACACAGAGAGACACACAATGCATCCATTACACACACACACAATGCAACCCTTACACACAAAGACAATGCATCCTTTGCACACATACACAGAAACACACAATGCAAACCCTTACACACACATGCAAACACACACACACTGCTTTTCTTACATACACACAGAAACACAATGCATCTCTTACACACACTCAATGCACACACTTACAGACACACACCTTGCATCTCTTATGCATACAAACATAGATTCACGCAATGCATCCCTTACACACAACCAGAAACACACAATACATCCCTTATACACAAATACACACTGCTTCCACTACACACAAACACACTGCATCACCTGCACAAGATGGTATCCCTATATACTACATACCATAAGCAAACATATTAGATCCTCTACAATAACACATAACACATCCCCTACACACTCCACTCCCTGTGAGCGAACTCATGGGTGGGTGGAACATATAAGTTGACTTATGAGTGGGCCTTGTGGGCATGCTCACCATCAGGCCCTGGGGCCCAGACCTTGAGCTGTGTAAGGGGCCCCCCAAAAATGGAGCTGCTTCCAATTCTCCCAGAACATTGAATTTTGTGACCTCAGTTGCAAACAGCCTCCAGAGATCCTGTTCTACACCAGACCAGTGGCCCATCATCATCCTCATCTGGTTGTAAGTAGGCAATCTAGTATATTATTAGTGACACTAATCTATAATTTACCTCACATTAAAGGGACACTATAGTCCCCAGAACGACTGCAGCTTAATGAAGTGGTTCTGGTGTCTATAGCCAGTCCCTGCAGGCTTTTTAATGTAAACACACACTGTGTGCAGCACTGGCATTAGTTTCTATGGCTGCTCATATAGGTGGGGCATTGTGTGTGTCACATGGGGGCAGCAAATACAGCTGTTCCCCATGCAGCCACAGGTGCCGCTGTGCTGGGAGATTGTGATTACTCTTCATTTCCTCCCAGCCTACAGAGCAGCGCATGGGAGAGAGAGAGGAGGAGGCATGATTTAATCTTACAACAAATCAAGTAAGCAAATCTTTATAAATTTGGGGGGATCAGCTCTGTTTCCACAGTTTATTGGTGTTTACTCTGATGTCTGTATTAATATTGAGGGATTTCTAAGTAGTAACATGTGTGTGTCAGCAGGGCCACCCGTTGGGGTGTGCACGCTGTGCGGTCACGCAGGGTGCCATGACAACACTGATTTGGTGGTGCAATGGGCCACTTGACTGGTTTTGCCCCCCAGGCCTAAGGCTGCCAGCCCTCCCCTGCATGGGATAGACATACGGCTCTCCTAACTATAAGATAAGGCCAGGGACTAATGAAAGTATTTAGAAAATTGGGCAGACTAGATGGGCCGAATGGTTCTTATCTGCCGTCACATTCTATGTTTCTATGCACATTGCATGTCAGATTGTGTGAGTGATTTCTGGGATATTATACACAGGGTCGGCGTGTCCTATAGGCCGCTTGTTAAGGGGGGGCGCCGGGTCAAAATTCTATTAGCGCCTGGTGCTAGTAACCTGAGCCCGCAGAGATCAGAGAGCTGTCCCCCCTACACACCTATCATATGCCGGCAGTGCACGGGTGCACCTTTTTTCCATTGCTCCCGCCCCTTCCCCTGTACTCGGTGTCAAGTGGGTGGGAGGATAGTAAGGGGCAGAGCTGAGAGGGAGCCCCACTTGTATGTACGTAGCGGGGAATTACGATGCCACATAAACATAGATAACCCCAATAAAAAAAAACCCAATAACGACAGACAACTTAGTATGGATGAACAGGCCACAGCATTTATTATCACAAACTAAATTACTGCATAACACATCCATAACTTTATTTATTAAACTCTTCTTTCTGTTAGAAATAAATAATCATAAATGAACATATATACATATAATAACATGTAATAACTAAAACATAGTGCTATGCAGAGACCCAACCGTCCTTGCCAATAAACATCCAGTGGTTCCTAATCACCACTTCCTCTCACCTCCCCCCTCGTCATAAAAAATCCTTCCAATGCCCGCCATCAGCCGACCTTATCCACGCTCGATGGGCACGATACCTCAGGCAACCTAATGTTTAACCTTTTGAAGCAGGGGAGGCCTGCAAAACATAAAAACTTACTCCATCCTTAAACATAATCCCTCAAACTTAATTGGCAAGGACATACCCCCGCCACCAGACCCGCTGCTTTACCCCTAAATCAGCGGGGAGCCCCACAAAACCTCCCATGGCCTGTTCCACCGCTTCTTGAAGGGCGAGATTGAAAAGGTCGAGCCCGACCTCCGTTAGGTGTACCCCATCCCCCCGAAAAAATTGAGCTGCCTCCCGCTCAAAAACCCTGTGGTGGATCGGGATCCCCCGAATCCCCAAAACAAACTGGCAAAGCCGCCTGTTTAACTTGCGTCTGCAACGCTCCATCGCACTCTGGCTCCTGGCGCCACGCCAATAGTTACGGGCAATGACCTCAGACCACACTAAGCGCACACTGGGAAACAAATTCAAAACGCGGGGTAGGTCCTGCTTCACCGCCGAAATCAAATCCAAATGGGCACCAAGCCCAGATCATTCCCCCCCAGGTGGATCATTGATAGACATACACTCACTGACAGACTTACACTCACTCACTGACAGACACACAGACACTCACTCACTGACTGACAGACACACACACACAGTCACTCTCTGACATACATACACTCACTCACTGACAAACACAGACACACACACACACATACAGGGAGACAATCAGTGACACACACACACTGACAGTCAAACACTCACACACTCACTGACACATACACAGGCAGACACTCACTGACATACATACACTCACTCACTGACAGAAACACACACAGGCAGACACTCACTGACACACACACAAGAACAGCCTCCCTCGCACCTGGCTTCTTCGTCCCCCTCTCCTGAGAACAGGTCATCGAAATTTCTTGGCAGAGCAGGCACCTGCCATCGAGGTAAGCAGGTGCATGCTCTGCCTTACCTAGCACAGGTTCGGGGGCACCCTGAGGCCAACTCCTGGTCCCCCGTGACAGGCATCCTTTGGCCCACCCACCTTCGGGCGCATTGAGGATCAGCCCGGCGCTGCGGCCTCAGACAGGGCCAGGCAGCCCACCGGAAACATCCCGGTGGGTGCCCCTACAGGCCAGCATCCTAGGCGAATGCCTAGTTCGCCTAACGGTGGCACCTGCCCTTCTCACCACAGACAAACTCGCTGATACACACGCTTACTACGAATAAGTTCACTGACACACACACAAGCTCACTACAGACAAGCTCACTGACACACACATGCTCACTACAGACAAGCTCATTGACACACACAAGCTCACTACAGACAAGCTCATTGACACACACAAGCTCACTATAGACAAGCTCGGGTACAGGGGAGATCACAAGATGAGATGTATCTCACTTGGAACTCAAGCACCTATACAGACTGACCCATACAAACCCACAGACTGACCCAACCCTGCCCCACACAGACTGACCCACACACACACACGCACACACCCATACACACACAGACTGACCCCCCACACAGACTGACCCACACACAGACTGACCCACACACAGATTGACCCATACACACACACACACACACACACAGACTGACCCGTACACACAGACAGACCCTCACACAGACTGACCCACACACTCACATACTGATTCACAGCCTGGATGCCTCATTACCCCCACACTCCGTGCGCTGCTCTCTGTGACCCAGCAGGAAGTTCCTCCCAGCACAGTACTCCCTTTGGCCGCACATGGGATCTTCCACCTAGGATTCCATATTCACCTTTGTGCACTGACGACAGTCTGGAGGGCCCATCAGGCAAGTGTGGGAACTGACAGCACTGCTGCAGCTTATGAAGGGACACTCAGTGCTCCTGACTTCTATTTCAATTGGGGGGGCACTGCATGATGTAGGGGGGGGCATGGCCCCCTTCAGCCTAGACACCACTGATACATACTGACATACTGACATACATACTGACATACATACAAACATACTGACATGCAGGCATACATACAGACATACATGCAGACAGACATACTGACATACATACAGACATACATACATACAGACATACATACAGACAGACATACAGACATACATACAAACATACTGACATGCAGGCATACATACAGACATACATACATACAGACAGACATACATACAGACATACATACTGACATACATACAAACATACTGACATGCAGACATACATACAGACAGACATACTGACATACATACATACAGACATACATACAGACATACATACAGACATACATACTGACATACATACAAACATACTGACATACAGATATACATACATACATACAGACATACATACTGACATACATACAAACATACTGACATGCAGGCATACATACAGACATACATACATACAGACAGACATACATACAGACAGACATACAGACATACATACTGACATACATACAAACATACTGACATGCAGGCATACATACAGACATACATACATACATACAGACATACATACTGACATACATACAAACATACTGACATGCAGACATACATACAGACAGACATACTGACATACATACAGACATACAGACATACATACAGACATACATACTGACATACATACAAACATACAGACATACAGACATGCATACTGACATACATACAAACATATGGACATACATACATACATACAGACAGACATACATACTGACAATAATTAGTATGTAAATAGCCCATTTCTCCCAGTGGGATCTTCAGGCACGCTCTCGGAATAAATCAAATCGGCAGCTGAATAGTAATAGATGTTAATATTACCCAATTGATAGTGCTCATTTTATCGACCTCAGAAGGACATCGACCTCATGAAAGACATACATTCATACTGACATACATACAGACATACCCACAGTAAGGAAAAATGGATTTGATCCGCTGCTGATTTTGAACGTTTGTCCACTGACAAAGACATGATCAGTCTATAATTTTAATGGTAGGTGTATTTTAACAGTGAGAGACAGAATAACAACAATAAAAAAATCCAAAAAAACACAAGTCAAAAAAGTTATAAATTGATTTGCATGTCAACGAGTGAAATAAGTATTTGACCCCTTCGACTAAGTACTTTGCGGCAAAACCCTTGTTGGCAATCACAGAGGTCAGATGTTTCTTGTAGTTGGCCACCAGGTTTGCCTATGCTCTTCCCATATTGCATATTGCTGCCACCTCTTCCCCAGGTACACGACGCACACGCACCTGACCATTTACCTGATCTAAAAGAAAACATGAGTCATCAGACCAGGCAAGCTTCTTCCATTGCTCCATGGTCCAGTTCTGATACTCACTTAATCATTGAAGGCAGTGGCCAGGAGTAATCAGGGACATTCTCACTGGTCTGAGGCTGCACAGCCCGATACACAGTAAAATGCAATGCACTGTGTGTTCTGACCCCGTTCTTTCAGGGCCAGCTTTATGTTTTTTGATAATCTGAGTTACTTTAGCTTGTCTGTCTGATCATACCAGACAGGCTAGCCTTCGCTTCCCACATGCCTTCAGGTGCCCATGGCCCTGATGCCAGTTCACCGATTGTCCTCAACACTTGCCATTTTGGAGATGCTCTGACCCAGTCGTTTAGCCATCACTACGCCTTTTTCAAAGTCACTCAAATCTTTTCACTTGCTAATATTTCCTGCTTCCAACACATACAATGTAGAAACTGACTGTTCACTTGCAGGCTAATATACCCCACTCCTTGACAGGCGCCGTTGTAATGCTATCAATGTTATTCTGTCAGTGCTTTTAATGTTGTGACTCAGGCCCGGACTGGCCATCGGGCATACCAGGCAAATGCCCGGTGGGCCGCGATGGCCGTGGGGCTGAGGCCGGCAGGGGATCTCCCCGGCCAGTCCCTTCAGGGCCAGCGCTATCCGAGCGCCGGCCCTGCTATGTGCCTCCGTGGGCCGGTGGGGAGATCAAAGATCTCCCTCACCAGCCCAGATGCATGGAGAAGCGGCCGCAGGCAGGGGACGGAGGGAGGGAGGAGAGGACCAGCGGAGCTCTAAAAAGCAGCTCCGCCGGGTCCTCTTGCGGGATTCTGAGCGTTGCCGCGGTTACCACGGCAACGCTTAGATCTCGCGAGAGTGAACTCTAACCCGCAGGTTAGAGTTCACTCTCACCACTGGACCACCAGGGAAGGCAGCATTGCACCCCACCCCCCAGGCAGAACGGATCTCCTCCCGCCCCCCAGGATAAAGGTAAGAAGGGAAGGGGGGATATAATTTTTTTTTTTATTAATAAAAAAAAAATTAAATTTAAATAAAAAATACATTCACACACACAGCACCCAGACACAGCACCCAGACAGACACACACAGCACCCAGACACACACAGCACCCCCAGACACACACAGCACCCAGACACACACAGCACCCCCAGACACACACAGACACACACAGCACCCCCCAGACACACACAGCACCCCCAGACACACACAGCACCCCCAGACACACACAGCACCCCCAAACACACACAGCAACCCCAGACACACACAGCGCACCCAGACACACACAGCACCCAGACACACACAGCGCACCCAGACACACACAGCACCCAAACACACACAGCACCCAGACACACACATCACCCTCACTCACACACACAGCACACTCCCTCACATATACAGCACACACATATATATAAAAAATATTCCTCAGTGAGTTAACAGACAAAGAAAGTTAGAAACCTAGAATGTGACAGCAGATGAAAACACCGTCACACACAGCACCCCTTTTACATACACACACTGCTCCCCTCACACATACAATAAGTCCAAATATATATATATATATATATATATATATATATATATATATGTATATATATATACACACACTACAGCACCCCTCACACTGCACCACTACACACATTACGCTCCAGATACACACTAGATCCCTTACCCTATATGCACCCTCTTAATCCTCTACACACACGCACACACACTGGGTCCTTTACACAGTAGATCTCCTACACACACACACTACATTCCTTGTCAGCAAACACATACAACATTCTCTAAACACACCCTCTCTGCAACCCCTAGCCACACATATTACACCACAAACACAAATTAAATTGACCTATTTACACAATACCACACCACACTCTACACACACGCAATCCCACAAGCAGGCTCCAAACATATGCACCATACACTTTCCTGGCCCTTTTGTCCTCTGGTATCCCACTTGTGGAGACACCTGAGACAATTTAAAAGGAAACACAGCGCAACGATGTTATTAAATTTGCTTGCGCTGAGCAGAACAAATACAGGGCCTTTTTCTAATGCCAGAGCTCTTCAGCGGGGCTCTGGGCATTGAACCAACATGCTCACTGTGAGAGGGGGCGTGTTGTCATTAGTGATGACAAAACACACACTCTCTGGCCCCGCCCCCATCTTAGGGGGCCGCTCTGATTGAAAAATGCCCGGGCCGAATTTTTTTCCCAGTCCGGCCCTGTTGTGACTGATCAGTGTACATACACCTCAGTGTGAAGTATTAAGAAATATAAAATACTGTAGTAAGATAGAGTCTAGATCTTCGTGGGATGATATTAATTCTAATAGTAATCTCCATTACAATCAAGATCATTAGGCGCAACCAGTTTTTGTTGTTGCTCAAAGCATAATGTTGAACATATCAGAGATCAGCCTTTCAGTATAACGCTTATGTTTTATGTGTGGATTTGTTTTGAAAGCGCTCCTTTTACCCTGAACTGTTTATCTGTAATATTTCTTGCTGTGGTGCTGGGATTAGCCCTCCTCACTACGTAGGGAGACGAGGCTGCTCTGACTCTAAGTGTAAAGGGCTCTACCTACCTGCAAGTGATGTGGTCTTGGTTGGTCTTCTTGCTTCACTCCGATATTCTCAGGTTTAGATTCCAGATGAACTTTTCATGCAGACAGATCTGGCTGGTCAATGCCGCCCCCTTGGAATGGAATCATCTGACCATAAATGCTTTGTGCCAAAGTTCAGCGTAAAATGCTGTGTAAAGCTCACGCACATCTGCCCTCACACTGTGCCCCCAGGTGCTTCACATGTAACCCCCTTGACTCTCCTACCCAATCTCTGCTGAACCTCAGAAGTTTTGCCTCCTCCCCCCCATTTGAATCTGGGGGAGATGTACAGTTAGTGAATGGTCAGTGTCTCTAATATGTGCAGACGTAAGTAATACATTATTTATAATGTGTTTTTTATATCCACTGGGATGACCTGTAGTTTGTCTTATTTTCTGATATTTAGCCAAAAAGCTCAATGAACTTTGCCCATTGAACTGTGCCAAAAATCTAATACTGCATCCATCAACATGCGAGGCTGTGGGCTTACATGGGGACTTCCTAAGTTAGTTTGCAACACATTAATGGCTGCCGAGAGGATTCATACAGGGTTATTCACTAAAGAGAGAATTCTAGGTGAATCCAACGTGAATTTCAAATTAAAGGTGAAAATATCTGACCTGTAAAAGATCTCCGAGTCAGTCATGCTTTAGATTTGGCTACTCTAGCTTTTTGAAATTCCCTTTGAATTCTCAGTTTAGTAAATAGCTCTGTTATTCTTAGGCTGCCAGAGTCTCATGGTGAATAAAGGGTTTCTAGAGCATGTTATCTTTGTTTCAGGCAAAATTAAAGCAATATTTGAAGAACTTCTTAACACGTTTCGCACTAAACTTGGGGGAGGGTTTTAAACATGTTTATTGTGTTTAGGGGACGTTCATCGATCCATTCATTAAGAGTTCCATTACACGGCCCAGAGGAGAGATTGACAACACAAACAATATACACCAAAATTTCACTCAGAAAGTATGCTAGGGTATTTCGCACATCATAGTAGATCATATCTGTACTGGTCAACCCATGCAAGCGTATTAACACGTTATAAATGATTTGCTACATACAGCAGGGTATTTACATCAGATATGCCATTTATACTTGGTACTAAGGCAAAACGACAATATTGACAATGTGTTACGCTCAGAATGTCCCGTACATCCTACAACTGCTGGAGGAAGCATCTCACTACAGAGACTTTACAAGGCACTTAGCTGAAAAGATTGATGAAAAAAGGAAAGGAATCCCCCACTGTCTCCATCCCACCTATCTGGGTTTTTCCAATCTTGTTTGACATACCTTCCAAGGGTCCCTATATAGGAGGGACAGTCCCTATTATGGCCACACAACACTCTGTCCCTCTTTTCCAGGAGCTCCATATTGTTTGTGTGTCTGAGTGTATAACAGAGCTCCACATCAATAATACTCCCAGTAATGTGACTAAATGTATAACAGAGCTCCACAGCAATAATACTCCCAGTAATGTGTCTGAGTGTATAACAGAGCTCCAAATCAATAATACTCCCAGTAATGTGTCTGAGTGTATAACAGAGCTCCACAGCGATAATACTCCCAGTAATGTGTCTGAGTGTATAACAGAGCTCCACAGCAATAATACTCCCAGTAATGTGTCTGAGTGTATAACAGAGCTCCACAGCAATAATACTCCCAGTAATGTGTCTGAGTGTATACAGAGCTCCACAGCAATAATACTCCCAGTAATGTGTCTGAGTGTATAACAGAGCTCCACAGCAATAATACTCCCAGTAATGTGTCTGAGTGTATAACAGAGCTCCACAGCAATAATACTCCCAGTAATGTGTCTGAGTGTATAACAGAGCTCCACAGCGATAATACTCCCAGTAATGTGTCTGAGTGTATTACAGAGCTCCACAGCAATAATACTCCCAGTAATGTGTCTCAGTGTATAACAGAGCTCCACAGCAATAATACTCCCAGTAATGTGTCTGAGTGTATAACAGAGCTCCGTAGCAATAATACTCCCAGTAACGTGTCAGAGTGTATAACAGAGCCCCACAGCAATAATACTCCCAGTAATGTGTCTGAGTGTATAACAGAGCTCCACAGTATTAATACTCCCAGTAATGTGTCTGAGCGTATAACAGATCTCCACAGCAATAATACTCAGAGTAATGTGTCTGAGTGTATAACAGAGCTCCACAGTATTAATACTCCCAGTAATGTGTCTGAGTGTATAACAGACCTCCGTAGCAATAATACTCCCAGTAACGTGTCAGAGTGTATAACAGAGCCCCACAGCAATAATACTCCCAGTAACGTGTCTGAGCATATAACAGAGCTCCACAGCAATAATACTCCCAGTAATGTGTCTGAGCGTATAACAGAGCTCCATAGCAATAATACTCCCAGTAATGTTTCTGAGTGTATAACAGAGCTCCACAGCAATAATACTCCCAGTAATGTATCTGAGCGTATAACAGAGCTCCGCAGCAATAATACTCCCAGTAATGTGTCTTTAAACTGCAATAAATTTGTTTAGAAATCAGTCTGTGTAAATAAGATACATTGTTCTTGTTGCAAATTAGTCACTGTAACGGATCGCCTGGCACCCCGACTGGGTACCTCCGTTAAAGGATGCTCCTAGCGCTTCCTGAGGACTCCAAGCACTGCAGCAGACACCACAACCACCGAACCGGAGAAGCATATGAATGCTCTCAAGCATGTGAATGCTGTAGACAGTTGAATAGGAACCATACGAATAGGTTTACTCTCCTAGCAGTCAAACTGGAACAGCATACAATAAATCCTTCCCCCAATAATGAGACGACACTTCACTTTGAGGGTTAAGCAGGAACTCTCTGTACTGTCACATACAGTCTCTTTTATTCCCAATCCACAAACATAGTACAGCCCACAGGGCGTTACAAAACACCAATCACATCACAGTTACATCCCACATATTCCCTCCCCTTATCCTGAGAGGAAACTCAATTATACATACAGTTAAAACATACTTTCTACCCAACTTTCATAACTCCAAAACCATACATCACATTCACATAAAATTACATATTCACAATCAATCCATTCAGGGGAACAACATATTCAAAAATGGCACAAATCAGACAAGGGGTTCAAAAGTTAGTAAAAAGTCCTTTGTGACTAAATGAAGCATGGCTTTCTGGCCCAAACCAGTTTCAGAGTCTTCTATCCTGGAGATAAGTAATTCAATTATCTCCCAGGACAGACACAAGACTCCATTAAGCACATGGTTGCAAAAAGACACAAAACACTTTAAAATACATAAAGTCACATTTTACACATAACACACAGACATTTCACATATCCCCAGATAGCTCAGGTCTGAGCGCACATTATTAAGTGAATGGCGCTCGGACCACACAAATACAGTTTAATCGCCATGGAGCCAAAGTCTTTACAGTCAGTTTCATACGAATGGGCTCCATGGGATTCCTATCTGGGGTATAACACATTCACATAAAGTCTGGTCCATAGTCCAAAGGCAAGAGGCGGGCAAGCAACCCCCTCCAAGGACACGTGGCGAGGCCGGTTTCGCCACAGTCACAATTGTGAGTCACTGTCTCATTGTTTGTCTGTCTTGGGGTACGTTGTTGCATTTGTGTATCTGTACTCTTATCGCTTATTAAATGAATCAAGCGATCATGGTGCTTGGAGTTACCCTTTAAATGATTTATGAAAATGGGACTGGGTATATATTTTTGTTAAAGAATTGGATTCTTGTTGGTAGATTTGTTTTATGTGATATTTACAATTGTTATCAGTGTTATGAAATTGTAGAGTGTTGCTACATACATTATATGGTTTTGTTAAAATAGTTACATTGTCAAGTATTCCTGTGAAGATAGGTTGATGTATGGTATATGTTTGGTGGATACCCACTTTTTAACATCAATGTCCTCACTGGAGTGAAATGAAGGGGCAGCAGTCTCTGCCCTTACCAGTTATCCACCAGACTCTAAGACTTACTAATCATTCCGCAGGCAATTAGTTTGAGAAATGTACCTGTTAACTGGTTATTGGTATATCATATCGGTAAAACAACTCCATTACATAAGCAAGTCTTTCTGTGAAGCTAGGTAGACATATGGCATGGGTTTGCCAGAAACCCATTTTCTCGTACAATTTCCAAGCGTCAATCTGGGGCAATGAAGTCTCCAGGACAACAGCCTCACAACCTCTCTGGCTGGCAAAATCGATAACCGTCCTGCACAAGGCTTTAGCGATCCCTTTACCTCTGTGACTCCGGGCAACAGTCAGCCTCTTGAGCTCCGTGTGTTTCTCTCCACGTGGATTAGATGATGGAACAGCAGCCACTGTACCCACCACTATCCCACCAGACTCCGCCACCCAAAAGCAGCGACCATCCCTTTGCAAATAATATTTCCTGATGTCCAACATGTCATGTGACAGACAGTGGTCAACGTAAGAAGAATAGACATATCTTGAGCAGATCAATAGGACAATTAATGCAATTGTCAATACCAAGATGGACAAAATAACAGATCCAGAGATCAAGAAAGAACCCAGGAATATGACCAGCAGAGAAAGCCATGATCGAGGATGCCTTAAAGCCAGTCTGAAGGCCATAGGGTAGTGTTCAATCATACCGCGGGTAAAAAGTTCCCTGGCCAGCTCATAGTCTGAGTCCTTGTATAGGCGGATATTGTAATCAGACATGGTGACTCCCTTTAAAAAAAAAGATACAAGAATTAAATAATTTAAATATGAAACAAAATGTTTCACAGACAGTTATGGTGAAGAGGAATGACATTAGATACCTATCACAAAAGACAAAACAAAATTTAAAGTAATGGTGGTTTCCCAAAGTTTAGTTACTGCTTTTTATTCACTAACATGAGAATCGGGGCAGAGTTTTTATAAACCGGTTTATTGCACCAGGACAAAATATAACTTACAGGTGTCTCTTGGTCCCGGTGTCTCATGGTCCAGGGAATTGGTAGGTGACACAATCTTCACTGCGTTCCTAGCCTGAGCCTTCCTCTGTTAATCAGCTCCAGCACTGCTGAGAGAAATCAGCTCCGAAATGGGGCACCTCTACGCTCTTAATGTGAGTGCAATCCGTGCAACACCAACATAAATCCACCACTTCATGAAATACCGGTTAGGAGGAAAGTTTATTCATATTCTCTGCTAAGTTGTAAAAACAAATCCATTTCAATTCTATTGTTAAATGCCACTTCCTTAAACCCAGTGATGTTAACGGCAACATTCTTTAAGAATCTGCAAATAAAAGGCTACTGGTCCACAAGGGGTTAAAGATATGGCACAACTAAGACAAGTTTGACATAAATTCAAATTAAGAAAACGCTCTCAAAAGCCTGGCTTAACATCAGCCTTCTGAAGCACTAAAACACAATTATTATTGACACAATCTGATGGGTTTCAATCACAGCAATTTAAAACAATTGAAGATTTTTTTCAGGGGTGGGGTTTTAGTGCAAAATACACAAATAATAACAAAATAATGAATGAATCATGTCGGGGTGCCCATTACCCCACCACGGAGAAGTAAGGACAAGCCAGGAAAAAAGGAAAAAGGGTATTAGTGGTCCTTAGAAGTGTCCAGGCATAATAAAGTAGAGAATATTGAAATAAAAAAAACAAGCGGATGTCAGAACAGAGGTACGCAATATCGAGATGAGTCCTACCCTAACAATTCCCCTTGCTGCTTTCAGCCAAATGGTAAAATCTCTAATGACACAGAGAGGGATATTCATCTAAACCCCTACACATGTATTAACCCTTAATAGGGAACACGTGGACTGGGCGGCAGCATTGTAACATGGCTGTGTGATACAAAAGTAAATACAAATGCACATTAAGATCTGCACTCAGACTCCCACTACGCCAGGGCGGCAACAGTGACCATAGTACACATCAACCCCAATACATACACTAAAAACCAAAGAAAAGAGTTATACTTTGTGATGTTTGATTGACTCTGTGTCACATATTCATCCGCTTATAGAAATGTGGTTAATGACATTTACTGTCCACACAGGAAAAGTTGTGCCGAGCAGCAACCTAATCCACAGAAGGGTTAATGCTGAGCAGCAATTATGCAAATGAAACCTGGTAACTGACTTTGGGATCAAAGGCCGGTTACAGCCTATCAGAACTAAAGGAGGGGTATTTAGGCCCAGTTCTCATCCTGCTCAGTGCCCTGTCGTGGTTTCCCTCGTGGTTGTCCGAGAGCGCGTTCCTGTTTATAGTTTTCTACCTGTTTTTTTGATTTTGTCTTTGTTTATTGACTTCTCTATATTCTGGTATCCTGACTCCTGGCTTTCCTCATCGCTGTGTCCCTTTCTGTGTTCCCTGACCTCGGCTAGTATTTTTGACTATTCTTTGTACGTTAAATCCGGCCATTCTAAGGACCGGTAATACGTTACTTATTTGTCATCCGTGCTGTACAGTTCTACGTGCTGGATCAAACAGTAATCCTGACACTCTGTAAACAAAATTAGCGTTCAGATTTTTTGTTGCATTTTTCACACACAAACAAATTTGAATGCGAACTTTGGCCAGTGTTTGTGACTAAGTGGCTAGCAAAAAAGACTGTACATACCACATTTTGAATACCTTGCGTTGTCTACTTTTACAAATTGTCTACTTTATCAATCTGGCAAATTTCAATGGGTATAAACTGAAAAATGGAACGTGCTATATTTGACCCTGTAACTTTCCAAAACACCATAAAATCTGTACATGGAGGGCAGTATTGTAATATTTAACAGTTAAAATGCCATGTCGAAGTAAAAAAAAAAAAAAAAACAGCAACATTGCTTAATTTCTCAAATTGTTTTATATTTTATTCATATTAAATAATGTTCCGTATATAAACAGTTGATGTGAAATGAACGCTCTGTTTCTTTTGAACAAAATGGTATATAATAAGTGTGGGTGCACTGTGACGGACCCTCCGCCGACGGATGCTCCTAGTGCTCAACAAGGACCATCAGCACCGCACCAAACACCATAAGCACTGCAGACCTCAAAACCACCGCAGCTTGCCCACCCTGGGACTACGACAAGGCTCCAGGTTCCAGTGGGTAACCCTAGCCTCCAAGAGAGTATAGCAGGATCAGCTGTAGAGCTTTTACAAGAGCTAATAGAATCCAAGGGAGTATAAAGATTATAGCAATCCCTGTAGTGATTATAGCTGTTCCCTACAACATGAGGCGAGGCTGCGAGCTGAGGGTAAGAAGGTCTGAAGGTTTATTGGTACAGGTTGGATTTATATACAATTCCCCAGGCCAGAGGCACACTTCCTGGACCCGATGGGGCACCGGATTACAAACTGTATAGACCAATAAAAAAAATGTAACAATGTCTGACACTCCCACATACAGCACACAATCCCTCCCCTCTGCTCCGGAGATAATTGAGCAAGATACTGTAAGTAACTTAATTATCCCCAGGCAGAAAAAACACATTTTACACAAAGTATAGAAAACACCCCAAAACACAACATATCCCCAAGCCCAAAATAGTTCCAGAGAATAAGGCTGTGCGGCCGGTCTATTTCCAATGATTAAAGTGCATTTCGAATCGTCGGACGGGACCGCTCGTGCACAAAGTCAGTATTGAAATGTGTTCGGTAGATTACTTCTACTGAACGGTGCTCTGTTCTTGGGGATTCAGTTGAACTTAGCTGGAGGTGGAAGTCCCAGCGGTGTTTGTGCCGTTGAGTGCCTGATTTTAGTTCTATAAACTCGACGGCAAAACACCACTGACTGTGTTAGACTAAACAAGATGGCCGCCGCCACGTGTTCGACTATACGAATGGCGAATACCTTGCCGTTCGTCAATTAAGCTGCGGTTGACCACAACTTCTGGGAGGTTAACAAGCAGCACACTTCCAATTAGGGGTGGTCCGGTACTTCTGTCCAATGGTTCTAAGTACCACTTCTAATCAATTCGAAAGGTCGAAGTGGTACTGGTAAAAGTCCCAGGAGGCAGAAATAGTGCCCTGGAACAGGGGCCATAGTCACAAGGTAAAAGGCTGGCAAGTAGTCCTCTCCAAAACTCAGTGGCGAAGCGGCTTTCGTCACATGCACTTAATATGAATTATGGTTGAACAGACATGTAGTCAAATTCCAGGTTTTGTTTACATTTTGTTTTGATCAGAACGTGTACAATTGCCTCCATCCTTATGGGGTTGATCTGTATTTATTATATACTTTGGTCTTTATGGCAGCACCACTTCTTAGAAATGCATGGTTTGGGTGTGCCCTCAATTCCCCTTTTTTTTCTGTGTAGACTTGGAATAATCCAGACTAGATTCCTATTGGGATGATCACCCCACCTATCCATTATAGGCACCTCTTTGGAGGAAAAATATATTGAGGAGTCTCTTGAAGCCGTTTAAGCAGTAAGTATTACACTCATCATGTTAATCTCCCATGTTAAAATTAGTGTAGGACCCACCGATATTGAGGTATTAACACTGAGGTGGGCTTAACACAATATGGTGGAACTGATTTCCCATATTTGTTTGCTAAGATAGGTGATTTTAAGTAGCATCGTAAAATGGTTAATTATATTTTATTTATTTTGTATGTGTGTGTGTGTTCTCTTGAGCTCTTCCATAATCTATATTTAGGCCCCGATACTATGTAGCTCACACACGTCATGGAGTTACCAGAGAAAAAGTTTGAATCCAAAATTCTCAAAATGGAAACATGTGCAAAAGGCACAGATTTCTCATGGAGACAACATGGAAATATTGTGGAAAAGTTGCAGCGATACCACATCTTTAGAATTCTAAACCACATGTTAAGTCCACATCAAGTCTGGACACACTTAAAAATAAGAAGTATTTTAAAAAAGCAAGTGTTATTGATGTCTGCATAGAATGCAGTTAAATGAGTATAGAATGCAGTTAGATCACGTGGGTGTAGAAAGGCTATTTAGTTCACAAGTATACCTGTGAAATGTTATCCTTTTGGGAGTTTTGAAATGAATTATTTAACTATGATCGTGTTTTCTAGAATGTATTCGGTGTAAGTAAGTATACATTGTGAGGTTTTTTTTTATTGGTTATACACTTATAGTCCACAGATGAACTTTTTACATTCACATATATATTTAACTTAGAGACTAAAAGTTGATGTGTAATATAATCCTTTTTTGGGCATTCATATCCGGTTAGATTTGCAGACTTCTATCTTCTTTCCCAGTTTTAGATTTGCGATTTACATCTCCTGATTGATCAGATAGGATCGTTCTGGAATTTGTACGCATATAAAGTTGTTCTGCTTTCCAGTGTGTATGTTCACATATGCGCAAACAGCTGTTCAGACGTCACAAGTTCTGACATTACATTCTGCTAGTCGTGCACTTGTGCGTCACCCTGGAAGACGCGAGAACAGGTCTATTTAAACGCTGGGCGATCATCGAATAATTCAATCTCCTGAGGAAGTCGACACCAACAAAACGTGCTGAGCCAGAGGACTCCCCAGGACAAACAACAGGATAGGAACACCAGCAGACTTTTTTGGACTATAAGTCATGACTTTGATTCTTATATCCAAGGTACAGGATGGTGGCTGTATTTTCTGGTGGGACTCGGTCCGTAGAGGATAACTTGTTTATTTTGCTCAGTGTGTTATATGCTTTTAAATCACAGTTTTTGATTAAAGTTTTGCACTGTGACTTGTTCTCTATTTCCTTATTCCAAATGAGAATTTCTCCTCCAAAGCAGCAAATGAGAAGGCTGAACTGGTAGGCGAAGCCTGTAGTTGTGGGAGGAGTTTACTGGCCTATAAAAACACAGATTTCCCCTTCCTCTGAGCTGAGACTGTCTGGTTCAGTACAGAACCATCTACTTCCAGTTCAAAGGTCATCAACACAAACTACTTAAACTCCAAACAAGCTGGTCTTGGCCTCGTGCAGCACACGCAAGTATCCATTTTACCTCACACTAGTAAAAAAACAGCTGCCTATCT